AGCTGCTGGAGCAACCTTGCCAGGATTGGAAGACTGGGTCAACGACCACTTGGAGGAGTCTGGCCAGCTCTAAGGGCATGAGAATGGCATTAGCAGGGACCTTGAATAAGAGCCTTCAAATGGTCTCAGTTGTGTCCTCTAGATCTCACTCTCCCTTGGCATAGACCAGTGTTTTCCAAACTTCTCTCATGATGAGAATCACCTGGTGGAGTTGTTAAACTACAGATTCCTGAATCCCAATTAAGAAGTGCTAAACTAGAATTTTTGGGAACATATAGCTAAAATTGTATACTTAACTTAGTGCACTAGTTAAGTATACAATTTTACCAGTCAGAACCCCTCCTGATCCCCACATATGCCAGTCAAGGGCACATACATCAGTTACAGGCCCCTCCCCAGCCTGGGCTCTGGTCGGGGCACATACAGGAAGCAACCAATCGATGTATTTTTTTCCTTCTCTGTTCCACTCTCTAAAAATCAATGGAAAAATATCCTTGGGTGGGGATTAAAAAAAAAAAAAGGTTAAACATAGAGTTACCATATGATCTAGCACTTCCCCTCCTAGGTATCCACACAAAAGAAATGAAAACATGTCCACACCAAACTTCTATATAAATGTTCACAGCAGCATATTCAGAGTCCAGAGTGCTAACCATTACACTATGGAACCAACTCACAGCAGCATATTCAATATAGCTAAAAAAGTAGAAGCAAATCAAATGTTCAACTGATGAGTGAATAAATGTGATATATCTATACAATAGAATACTATCTATATAATAAAAACCCAGTGGTCATAACTCCACAATGACTAAAGACCAGTCACCAGGAGGTGCCTTGACGCTGCATCCCATGATGCACCGGGTCTGGGTCTCATGTGATTTCTTGCTCTGGACCCCTACTACTATCTAATAAAAGAGTAATATGCAAATTGACAGTAACCCCTATACTCACAAGCCAGCCCACCATCCAATCAGAAGTGAGTATGCAAATTAACCCAACCAAGATGGCTGCAGCCATGGAGAGAGCAGGAGACTTGAGTTTCCCTGGCAATGGAGGAAGCCAAGCTTTCCACCTGACCTGGCGTGCCTTGGCCTCCGCTCAAGGCTACAAAGTTTCAATTATAGAAGATAAATAAATTCCAGATACCAAGGCCTCTGCTTGGATCGCCGGGGGGCATGGCCAGCCTGCAAACCACCACAGGCCCCTCACCCAAGCCACTCCACACCCCAAGGGAATGGACACCTTGATCTGGGACACCCTTCAGGGCAAATCAACTGGCCCCCACCCTTGCACCAGACCTCTATCCTATCTAATAAAAGAATAATATGCAAATTGGCCATCACTCCAACACACAAGATGGCTGCTCCCATGTGATCAAAGATGACTGCTCTCATGTGGACACAAGATGGCCACCACAAGATGGCCAGCAGGGGAGGGCAGTTAGGGGCAAACAGTCTGGCAGGGGAGCAGTTTTGCATCAATCAGGGAGTGGTTAGGGGGTTATCAGGCTGGCAGAAATGGTTAGGGGCAATCAGGAAGGCAGGCAGGCAAGCAGTTGGGAGCCAGCAGTCCTGGATTGTGAGAGCGATGTCCTAACTGGATCAGGCCTAAATGGGTAGTCGGACATCCCTTGAGGGGTCCCATATTGGAGAGGGTACAGACTGGGCTGAGGGACACACGCCCTTGTGCATAAATTTTGTGCACCAGGCCTCTAGTTCATTAATTAAAAGAAATGAAATACTGATACATGCTCCAACATGGATGAACCTTGAAAACATTAAGCTAAGCAAGAAGCTAGTCACAAAAGATATACACTGAGTGGCCAGATTATTATGATCTCTGAACGCATAATAATCTGGCAACTTAGTGTATATCCTATATAATAAAAGACTAATATGCAAATTGTCCCCTCAACCAGGAGTTCGACCAGCAGACAGGCTGGCCAATCACCCATGTCTCCTCCCCCTGGCCAGGCTGGCCAGACCCCACCCATGCACGAATTCATGCACCAGGCCTCTAATACACACACACACACACACACACACACACACACACTGAGTGGCCAGATTATTATGCGTTCAGAGATCATAATAATCTGGCCACTCAGTGTATATGTATTGCATGATTTCATTTATATGAAATGTCCAGGATAGGCAGGGTGTGATGCTGAAGGGTATGGGTTTCTTTGGGGTATGATAAAATCAATTGTGGCGATGGTTGCCCAACTCCATAAATATGCTAAAAACCATTAAATGAGCAATTATATCTCAATACAGTTATTTAAAAATCACAAATATATTTAGTTTAACAAAATGAAAGCATTATAGCTTAACATAGCTTTCTCCAAACCAGTTATTTAGGAACCACCAATATGGTTTTTGGCTTATCTTTGTATCATTGCACTATGGTTGGCTTACTTTTGAAAGTTGATTCACTTTTTTTAAATTCAAGGAATGGAAAAATCATTATTTCTTTAACTATTATAGATAACAGTAATTATAAAAAATAAAGAAGAAAATTTAAAAGTGAGAGAGAAAGCCCCAGCACCCTACTGTGGGAGAAGGGGCTTTGGCAGGGGGAGCTGGGCTTTGAGGCAGTGATCCCTTTTACCTGTTAGGTAAAAGGAAGGACCTGGACAGTTAAAAGACTGTATGTACATGCAGGTATGTGTGTGGGGTAGTGTGTGCATATGTATGTATATATGTTTGTGTGTATATATAAATTTGTGGTATATATGAATTCCGGTATATCTGAATATGTGTGTGTGAGCATGTACATGTGTGTGTGCACGCATAAATGTGTTGGTATATACATGCAAGCTTAGAAATGTCACCTGCTATGTGCTGTGGAGGAGTCCAGAACGTGCAGATTCATGGTTCTTTCTGCATCTGGCTCTCCTTTTTTTCTTTTTGGTTGCATTTGGCTCTCCTTTGTCAAATGGCTTCCTTATTGGTTAAATTTTGTTTTAATATTTCAGTCTTTCTTGAGCTGTGCACTAAGCAAAAGGGTTACTCTAGTTTCTGGAAGCTGAGTTCAGTGGAGAGCAGCGCCCTCTGGGGGAAGCAGAGAGATGAGCCATGGGAAGGGGATTTTCTTGGCGAGCCCAATTGAAACTCTCATCTAGTCTCCACCTGGGGCCAGTCCGGGAGCTCCTGGGTTTATTAGGCAAGAAGGGGGGCATTTCTTTACTTCTAACAATCCAATCACTTTAGAAGCAACTCCTCTTTCAATTTAGAATGCTTCCCTTTTGTGTTTGGAAGCCTTTATGCTTTTTTCTTTTTCCCTTAAAAAGAGTATTTTTACCTTATGATTGTGAAAAGCAGTGCAGATAAACAAGTGGATAAAATATAAAGGTTCAGCTCAACGGATTATTCGTGTGAACAACCATGTGATACTCTGCAGACAACAGAGCGCTGCCAGTACCCCAAACAGCTCCTTGTCCCTTCCAGATTACATCCCTCCCTCTCCTTCCTCCCAAAGTTAATCACTCTCTACATTGTGGGCATAACGTCATTCTTTATCTTTGTTGTAAAACATAAGTACACATCTGTAAAGACCAGTGTTTAAAAATGTAATTATACCGTGTGCTAGCTTCCTAGGGCTGCCACAACAAACTACCACAGACTTGATGGCTTAAAACAACAGAAACGTATTGTCTCAGTTCTGGGGTCCAGAAGTCTGAAATCAAGGTGTTGGCAGAGCCATGCTTCTGACAAAGGTTCTCTGGAGGGTCCTTCTTTGCCTCTTCGTTTCTGGGAATCCTGGCATTCCTTGGCCTGTGGCAACATCACTCCAATTGCTGTCTCCATCTTCACATGGCCTTCTTCCCTGTGTCTCTAAATCTCCCTTTCCTTTCACTTATAAAGACAATAATCATTGGATTTAGGCCCACCCTAAATCATCTCAAGATACTTAATTACATCTGAAAGACTATTTCCAACTTAGGACATTCTAAAGTTCTAGGTAGATATGAGACACTATTTGGGAGACACTATTCCATTCACTCAGTAGAATATGTATTATTTTGTGTTTGACTTCTTTTGTTCAATAATACATTATAAAGATTCACCCATATTGCTGAATGTAGTTATGTCCTATTCATCTTCATTGCTGTACAGTTTTCTATTTGTAATAACATTACATTACAGTTCAGAGTAGGATGTACTTTGAAGCTAACAAATCTTTAGGTTCAAGGGTCCTCATCTTCAGACTTCTTCCAAGACTCTGGTAGAAGCCCTAGCAATGTGGTCACATGGTCAAATATTTTTTGCATGATTTGCAAAAGTAATTTGTTATATCCTCTCATTTTAGTAGTACTTTTTTTCTCATCTAATTGCCCTGGATAGAAACTCCAGTATAATGTTAACTAAAAGTGGCAAGAGCAGCCAGCCCTAGCCGCTTTGGCTCAGTAGAGCAAGCTTTGGTCTGCAGACTGAAAGGTCCTGGGTTCGATTCCGGTCTAGGGCACATGCCCGGGTTGCGGGCTTGATCCCCTATAGGGACTGTGCAGGAGGCAGTGGATTAATGATTTTCTGTCATCATTGATGTTTCTCTCTCTCTCTCTCTCTGAAATCAATAAAAAATATGTATTTTTAAAAATAGAAAAAATAAAAGTGGTGAGAGCAGACATCCTTGTCTCATTTCTGACCTCAGGGGGAATGCTTTCAGTATTTTCCCCTTTTTTAAGTGGGGGGGCTGGCTAATGCTCAACGCTGAGACTTAAGGGCTAAGCTGGGCTGCAGGACTATTCTGGGAATGGAAGTCGGTAAGAGCACTGAGGGAGGACTGAAGATGGGAGAAATGACCTTTCCATTGTGGGCCCACCCATCTTTCACACACTTCAGGCATGAGGTTCAGGAAAAAAAGAGATTGGAAATCAGCTCCCAGGAGTTATGGTCTCTTCTACCTGCACCCCAACCTCCCCTGTTCTGGTCCCAGAGGTTTAAGCCAGGCCAAACTCCACCCCTCCAATCACCAAATAAACACAACAGCATGAGTTTAAGTGAAAAATCCACTTTAATATTCTAGCTTCAACTCAGTTGAGAACTTTCCTTCTTCAAGTACAAGAGAAATCTTTCCAAGAGGCCTCAATCCACTAAGAGGTTACTCCTCAGAGAAGGGTACAGCTCAAAAAAGCCCTAAAATGAGAGGCAACATGGGATTTGCAATCAGTAGAAACCATATCGGGGTTCCCCACCACTCACCTCCCACCAACGTGGGCCCCAGCAAGAGAAGCATAATTGCTTCGCCCACTTACAAGTGATCCCTTCTCTGTCCCCTCATTATCCCCTGAGGGTTGATCAAGGCCCAAGTCTTGATAATAATAGGGACCCTATTTTTTCTACGTGGTAGTACCAAGACAACCACCACAATCACCTAGGCCAGCCACATAGTGATGATGATGTTGCCCCAGCAACCAATCCAAGCACTAGAGGGGGAAGGAGCCCAGCCCGATGGTGGGGTGGGAGTGGGAGTCACCTTAAAGAGGGTGATGGTCTGGAGCACTCCTGTGGTGCACGCTGTCTCCCGGATGGAGTGCATGGCCAGTTGAGGGCTGCCCAAATCCAGTACGCGCAGCCCCAGCCGAGAAGCCAAGATAGGTCCAATGGTGGTCCCACAGGGAGAGTCATTCCTGACCATGAGATCCTGGGGAGAGGTGAAGAGGTTTTTGAGTAACATGTAGTCTGTACTCATTAAGGCCAATGAGGAAGTCACCTTACAACGTCAGGGCTGAAAGGGGCCTGGCAGATGGTTTACTTCTACCCCCCAGAGAGTGGACGTGACCAGCTAAAATCACAAAACGAACGTTAGATAGCAGTCAGGGGAATTAAAGGAAAAAAGTATCCTTTATGCCATTCTCTCGCTTAACACATACTCACCCCCATATAACACATAAAGAAAAACCACTCCATAGTTTTGCTATTGACATTTTTAAACTATTTTCTTTATATTCTGGTAAAAAACTATGTAAGAAAATCATGTTAGATAACAAGACATTAGTATAAGGGAAAAACAGAATTATAAAACCAAATTAAGTAATAACAACTCTTATTTTTTAAGAATTACAGTATTAAAAAAATTTTTTAACAGTATTAACTCATGATTTTCAAAATGTATATATTATGAAGTTTGACACTTCTAGCTATGCCCTCTCAATAACAATGAACACTCTTGATGCCAGACCATGATCTCTGATATCATTATCTATTAAAAGCTACCAAGTCTGGGAAGAGAAATGAACAAGATGAGCCTGTAGATTCTTGTAGTGTCAAAAAAGCAAAATAACTTTAACCATGTCAAAATACACAGGCATTACACTGGAAGGATATCTGGTAGTGTGATTCCTTCAACTTTGTTCTTTCTCAAGACTGCTGTGGCTCTTCAGGGTCTTTCATGATTCAAATTCTGTGAAATATGCCATTGGTAACTCCAGGAAAAATAAATCTTATTATGAATTTGAAGACAGACAGTACAAACTGCAGTTGGGTGGAGCCGACCTGCAACAATCTTTTTTGTTCCCTTTGAAAACGGCACATTGACAAGGCAATTAAATCTCAAAATAAAAATACCCATCTCCATCAGGTTCCATGGCGAGTATACAGTACAACACACTCTATTCCACAGGTGAATTTTCTTTTGTCTCTACGGGGTGATGATCAATTCTTTCTGGAAATCGTAGCTTCTCACAAACTCCTCCCTGATCAGTAAATACTGTGACATTTCACTAGGTTCCATGAAGAGGAAAGGTGAAACATGCACTAAATTAGCAATTTTGCTCTCTTGCAACAGATGTACTTGTAACATGTTTTGTTAGCCTTGTGGTGGTCTCCTGTCATTCATTCTGATAAGCACTGCATCAATTATCAAGAAAAGTTATAATGGGAAAAAAATAGCTGGAAGGCATTACTCTAATTTTCATACTTAGGTTTGAAATTCCATGATCATGAAGCTCATTCTCAAACAGAACTTCTTCAAACCAATCTGTTTTCTGGCTTTCCATTTCTCTGTATCTATAAGATCTGCTGTAGGTACAACCTTTAACTTGAGACACTCTCCGCCAGAAATGTTCCTTATAATCTGTTGTATGGTTTAATAACCTCTGTGGAGTGTTCTCCCTCCGTCCTGCTTCGCCGCCACTCTTCCACACAGGCTACTTCAGGCATTTGTGCACTGAACTCAATCCCAAAGCCATGCTGGATTCTTAAAACACTGACTCCAAACATCGTTCTGGGGAGAGGAGGCATATGCAATGTGAGCTAGCTTCTCCACGGTCACCGACTTCATGATGTGGGTCGTGGTTGCCACCAGCTTCCAGGGCCTGGAGAAATCCTCCTAGTGGCTGTTCTGGAAAGTGGGGATCGTCAGGGCTGAGATGGGGCCCACATAGACCTCAGGGAACAGGCTGGAGTGGCGGCAGTGGACAACGGTTCCTCTGCCTCAACCTTCAAATCATTACTGCTTATTGACAATGCACTTGGTCACTCAACAGCTCTCACGGAGACAGACAGAGATTCATGTTTTCACGCCTACTCACACAACATCCATTCTGGAGCCCACGGATCAAGGAATAATTTTAACTTTCAAGTATTATTATTATATTTAAGAAATGCATTTTACAAGGCTATAGTAGCCTTACAAAATGATTCCTTTCATGGATTTGGCAAAGCAATTGAAAACAATAGGGTTCACCATTATAGAATATTCACAATCCATGGGGAAATGGTCATAATATCAACATTAACAGTTTAGGAGAAGTTGATTCCAGCCCTCACGGATGACTTTAACGAGTTCAACTTCAGTGAAGGAAGTAACTACAGATGTGGTGGAAAGAACAAGAGAACTAGAATTAGCAGTGGAGCCTGCACATGTGACTGAATGGCTGCAATCTTGGAAGATTTTAATGCAACTCTAAGGGTGAGCAAATGAAGTGGTTTCTTGAGATGAAATTTACTATTGGTGAAGGTGCTGTGAAGATTGTTGAAATGACCACAAATGATTTATAATAAAACATAAATCTGGTTGATAAAGCAGCTGCAGGTTTGAGAGGACTGACTACATTTTTGAAAGAGGTTATACTGTGGTTAAAATGCTATCAAACAGCATTGCATGCTACCGAACAATCATTTGTGAAAGAAGTCAATTGATGCAGCAAACTTCACTGTTGTTTTATTTTAAGAAATTGCCAGTCACCACAATCTTCACCATCCACCACCTGATTAGTCAACAGTCATCAACATTGAGGTAAGACCCTCCCCCAGAAAAAAAGATTACAACTTGCTGAAGGTCCAGATGATAATTAACGTTTTTTAGCAATAAAGTATTTTTTTAATTTACAGATTTTTTTTTTTTTTTTTTAGTGAGGAGGGGAGAGAGGAATGGAGGGGGAGAGAGAAACATCACTTTGTTGTTCCACTTATTTATGCATTCATTGGTTGATTCTTATATGTGCCCTTATCAGAGATCAATCCCACAACCTTGGTGTATAGGGACAATGCTTTAACCAACTGAACTACCCAGTTATGGCCAGCAAAAAAGTATTTTTTAAATGTATTTTTTATTGATTTCAGAGAGGGAATGAGAGAGAAAGAAAGAGCAAGCCACACCACGCCACCAGGCAATAAAGTATTTTTAAATTAAGGTGTATACATTATTATTATTTCAAATATATTTTTATTGATTTCAGAGAGGAATGAAGAGAGACATAGAAACATCAATGATGAGAAAGAATAATTTATCGGCTGCCTCCTGCATGTCCCCTACTGGGAACGGAGCCTGGAACCCGGGCACGTGCCTTGACTGTAATCTCCTGCTTCATAGGTCGGCGCTCAACCATTGAGCCACACCAGCCAGGCTATACATTCTTTTTAGACATAATGCTATAGTACACTTACTGGACTACAATACAGTATAAACGTAACTTTTATATGCCCTGGGAAACCAAAAACTTCATGTGAATAGCTTATGTCTAGAACCGAATCCACAGAATCTCCGAGGTGTGCCTGTGTCTACACCTATACCTATGACTAGATGGACCATTGCCAAAGCAAGAGTGAAATTGAATAGTTAAGAGTTCCAAGGTTTGGCTCAGTGGATAAAGCATCGGCCTGTGGACTGCAGGGTCCCGGGTTCAATTCCAGCCAAGGGCATGTACCTTGGTTGCGGGCACATCCCCAGTGGGAAGTGTGCAGGAGGCAGCTGATCGATGTTTCTGACTCTCTATCTCTCCCCCTTCCTCTGTGAAAAATCAATAAAATATATTTAAAAAAAAAAAAAAAAAGTTCCAAGCTCCCCATTCCTGAAATTCCCCTATGGAAGCCCCAGGGTGTGTAAGAGAGACACAGGGGAGGTGGGAGTGATGGATGGGAAAAGGGCAGGACTAACTCACCATGTGCCATAAGCACACTGTACCTTTAATCCTCAAAGAAATCCAGCATCGTCATCAGGCCCATTTTACAGATGTAGAAACTGAGACTCCGAGAAATTAGACTAGTCCAAGGTCACAGGGCTAGTACCACGGCAGAATCAGCACGGATCCCAGCTCTGCCTATATCCAAAATCCCTGTCCTCCTCACTCTACTGGGACCCTCTCCACTAAAGGTTGTCTACCATGCTCCCCACTCATCGAGGGCCCATCTGCTTGTGCCCCTCCGCTCCCTTCCGAGGCAGTGCCCGCTCTCACCTGCAGGGGCACCCCGACATTGTTGGCCACCCGGCGGATCAGGGCCTCTGAAACTGCATTGGAAGCATAGCGCTGCTTGTTGTTCACCTTGATCACAGGGCCCTGGGGAGAGGGAAACCGGGATTCAACAGTGAGGCAGCCGGGAGGCCCAGAACCAGCCCAACTGACAAGTTCTGAAGAAGAACCAGGGGCACCTCACCTTGTGGAATAAGGGCCGGTGGTTCTCCTCATGCTTGTCCCTGTAAGAGGCGGTTTAAGGGCAAGAGATGGCAACCAGGGGCCGGGCCTGTCAACACCCACCTCCTCCACAGCAGACATCACTAATGGATCACAGCATGCTTTCCCACCAGCCCGGCAGCTAGTCATGCCAAGCAGTGCTCTAGGCAGCCTCTAGCACTCTAGGTTCTATTATAGGTTCACAGATGGAGCTCAGGCATTACGTGACATTGACCAAGCTCAGCCTGGGGGCAGTCAGAGGAAGTTCCCGCTGAACCTCCCAGTGGAATGAGTCAGTGGAATGAGTAAGGGGGAGGGAGAAGAAGCCAGGGCTCAGGGTTACGCCTGGTGGTCCAGCTGTGTGAGGACTGCATGCCGGGCACGGTACACTCACAGGTAGTTGGGGTGCACGGCATGGGCCATGTCTGCGCTGATCATGTAGGACTTGGGTATGGCTTCCTCGAAGGCCGTCAGGTGCTGGGGCGAGGCCGAGATCCGCCGCAGCACCAGCTCCGTCAGCAGCGACTGTGCCCCTTGGGCACTTTCAGACCCCACCTGCCGACAGCAGAGACCTGGCTCTGGGACCTGGGCGGAGGGGGCTGCGCTGGAGGCCAGGGAGAGGGGCCTACAGCGCACACCGGCCCAGGACCCCACTGAGGCATTGGGTGAGGAACGTGGGATGTTATCAGCAACTTCCCCAACCCTAGTGTCACCAGAAACCCGACGGTGGGCTGGGGCCAAACTGCCTCAGGCATCTCCTATGTGTCCATGGCATCTCCTATAACGGAACATCCAAGCTAAGCGCGTGGCGTGCCAAGGTGAGGTGACATTTCTGCTTTCCCCTGAAGCCACCCATGGCCGCGCTCAGTTCTGTGGAACGCAGGCCGTGAGGAATGCGGTCTTCGGGTCATGCCCTTTAAAAGGATGGGCAGGCACTCCCCTTGTGCCCTTTTCTCCCTTCCTACTAACGCAGCATAGACGTGAGGGCATGAGCTGGAACATCCACCCTGGGTCCGGAACCGGAAGTCCCGTGTGCAGGATGGCGGAGGCCTGCCCCGAGCTGCTAACTCTGACCCGTGCGTTTACATGAGAGAGAACCACCCAGCTGTTCAAGTCCTGTTGCGGCGTTTAAGCAGCAGCAGGCACGAGGGCCCACCCTGCGCTGTCCTGGGGCTTTGAGGACAAAAGGGCACAGAGCGATTGGGAGGTATGGTCACGCCAGAGGCAGATAAAGGCTGAGCCGGAGGGGACCAAGTGTGAAGGAGCACAGGCAGCGTCTCCCCTGCCGGCTCAGTGGGCGCCCGGCCTGCCTCCTTCCTCAACCTCCGGCTCAGCCCTCCGCTTACCTCTTCGTTGTCATAGAGGGCAATCATGCGCACGTGGGGATCGGCAGCCAGGGAGGCAGGGGCCTCGCAGGAATCGATCAGGGCCTGGTTTGGGGAAAAGAGGGGGGGGGGGGTGTCAAAAGCATCATCCTCACCCCTCCTGCTTCTGTAACTCAGCCCACCAACACCTCGGAGGTGCCTAATCCCCAACTGCCTGAGGGCCCTGCCTGGGAGAGGGGTGGGGGTGGGGGACCCTGAGATGGGAGAAGTCACCCTATGAGGTTCTTCTCCCACACCGTCCCATGCAAAAGACAGGCAGATGATGCTGAAACCGGTCTGGCTCAGCGGACACAGCGTCGGCCTGTGGACTGAAGGGTCCCAGGTTCGATTCCAGTCAAGGGCACGTACGTTGGTTGTGGGCACATCCCCAGTAGGGGGCATGCAGGAGGCAGCTGATTGGTTTCTCTCTCTCATTGATGTTTCTAGATCTCTATTCCTCTCCCTTCCTCTCTGTAAAAAGTCAATAAAATATATTTTTTTAAAAATAAAAAAGACAGGCAGATGTGTAGGATAGAGGGAAAGGGCTGAGAATCTCATAAAGTCAAAGGAACCACACAGATCATGCAAACTAATTGGCCTCAGCAAAAAGACTGAGGTCCAAGGGAGTGACTGGTCCCATCAGGGTGACATGACTGGCCGGCTGGTGGCAGAAGTGACTAGTGTCCCAGGTCTAGCTCCGGCCTCCATTACAGCCCTGAGTCTGTCTCTAAGAACAGGACGGGAGGGAAGAAGAGGTGTAAAAAGGGCAGAGCAGGGGGGCAAGGGTAAGAGGAGAAACGGTGGGAATGCCAGGGTGGCCGGGAGGAAGAGATCCCCAGGCAAAGAGAGAAGGCTGGGTGGGCTTGAGCCTGGGGTAGGAGGGCGGAGAGGAGCAGAGAGAGGTGGGTGATACTGCTTGGCGGGCTAAGGCCTTTCCCTGGAAGCAGAGTTAACTTAAAAAAGAGGCAGCAGGAGCAGGGCTAGGACAAGACACCATGGTGCCCCAAACCGCCTCTCCGCCTTCCCCACTGCAGCCCCAGCCCCCAGATCAGTGCAAGGATGGAGCCAAGAGTCTGCAGCATTTAGACCCCTCCCCGCCATGGCCCACCAGCACAGCAGACCAGGAGTGGTGAGGGTGGGGGGACTACAGTTATCTCACAACTGTTTGGGTTCACACCGCCCCCCACCCTATTATTCCATCTCTCCTGGGGCTGTGTGCCCCGTGGGGGTGCCCAGCTCACCTGCAGAGCACAGAAGCAGCTGTGCAGATTGTCCAGGCGAGGGGCAAAGATGAACTCCTCATAAGCACCACCCAGCACCTAGGACGACAGGACAGTCAACCTGACCTTTAAACCCTCCTCCCAACTCACCTGCTTCTCCCTGCTCTCAAGGGCCTGAGCCTGAGCTACCTCTTCGGTTCCTTGCGCAACCTACCCCTGACCTCTGGCTTAGGGCTGTGACACTGCTGTGCAGGGCTGAGTGCAGAATGGGGCTGGGCTGGAGCAGAGGGAGGGGAGGTGGCAGGCCTGTAGTTCCTGACAAGTTCCTATGGGACAGGAAAAGGGAGAATCTTGAACGGTCACAAGAAAAGCTAAGGAAATAAAGAAAGGAAGAGAGACCAGCCCACACACAGAAAGTTAGTGCACGTTCAAACAGGATCGAACATCCAAAGCCTTAGCAATGTCCTATGGTCGGCAGCTGGGAGGGATGTGAAGGAAGACTCCGGAAAAGGGGTGGGAACATCGAGGCCTCTTGCCCTTGGAGGTTCAGAGCCAGTGTGGGTACAGAGGGCAGGGCCACCTGTGGTGGAAACTCCTAGGGAATCTTGGGAAAACAGATCACCCCACACCAGAAAGCCCGGAAGCAGGCCTAGTGTGGGGAAACTACCTTTTCTTTTTTTTTTGACACAGAGGTAGGTGGTGTCTTCTGGGAAGAACAGAAGTGAGATGAACTGGGGGACTGGCAGAGTGGGTGAGGGCTTCGGGGGCACAGGGGGACAGGCTGGGGTCCCTGAGGTCCCCCCCCCCCAGCCATGAGACCTGCAGCCGTTCCTCACCGCAGGCTGCGTGTCTGCAAGGCAGAGCTCCATCTCCAAGATGTCCTCAGGGCTCAGCCCCAGGTGGCCACAGAGCAGGGACATGAGGACCGAGTGGTGCCGGTCATCCTGCAGGGCAGAAGGATGCTAGGAGGAGGGTCTGCTCCTCCTCCCTCTCCCATTCTCAGGGGACCGGTCCCTTCTCCACCTGCTCACCCCTCCCGGGGAACAGGGGACTGTCTTACTGCAGCACTGAGAGGCCCTGGCTCAGCAGTCCCCTTCTCCAGCTCCTCCTGGACTGCTGTGGCAAGGATGGGGACTCTGTGGGGAGACACATGAGGAGGGGCTGTGGGGAGGGCTAGAGGGCACAGCAGGGCGGGCATACCTCAGCTCAGACATCTCCTGATGGGGTGCCCTTGCCCTTTAATTTCTAGTCCTCTCCCCCACCCCCGCCCCAATGGCAGAGTAGTGAGGGCCTTGGACATCCCCTGGGTCCCAAGAGTAGAACCTGAGGGCGGCTACCATTAGGTGGTACTCTCCCAGGTCCCACTGGAGCTCCTTCCGACACCGGGTGCCACACCCACCCCTCCCGGTCACCACAGCCCTTGCCCAGTCTCACAAGTGTGTCTCCGGGTTGGGCCCGAAGCTCTCGTTGACATTTCGCTGCAGATGGATGGCCAGGTGTGGGATGCGAAGAATGGGCCGCTCCACATGCACCAGCCGCTGCTCCAGCCGGTCTGAGGTCGGGCACTGTGGCCAATGAGGCCCGGTCAGCCCAGGCTGCCTCCCACCCACAGCTGGCTAAAGCCCCCGCTTCACACAAACTAGCCACGGTGGTCCTCTGGCCTGGACCATCCCACCCCCCTTCCCCAGGGTACTCTCCACAGGGGCCCTGAAGAAAGGTGACCACCTTCAGGCAGTTGAAGCCGAGAACCTCCCAGGTTCCACCCGTCACTACCTTGACGATGACGCGTCCGGCCAAGGTCAGGTCACGGTCAAACCAGGTGCTCCAGATGCCCCCACCATAGGTCTCCACACCGACCTGATGGAAGCCCACCTGGCTGCGGCGAGATCGCCGTTTCACCTGAGGGTGAAGACGGGGAATGAGATGTCAGAGAAGGCTGCTTGGCGTGACTTGGAGAAATCTGTTTGGAGAAATCTGAGAAAGACTGTTCACAGGCTAAGAAACAGAATGAATCCTCAGGATAGGGAAGGGCCCAAAGTGTGGAAGAGGCCCCGCTCCAGGGAATAGTGCCCCAGACATGTACCTCCTGGCTCTCTTCTGCTTTGTTCTCTGTCCCTCTCCCCCACCCCCCCAATCTCAGCACAGCCCCAGTTGCTTACCCGAAGGCAGGGGCTGTCCGTGTGGGCACCAATGAGGCTGAAACCATTGCCAGGAACATACTGGCCTCCCACAGCAAAGGCGATGATGGTGGAGGAGTTCCTGGTCAGGAAGTACTGGGGGCGGGGGAGGGGCGGTTTTGAGTTGGATTAGCCAGCCTGCCAGGCATAGAGGACTTTGAGCCCCAGCCTAAGGGAACCTGCCTTTTGCCCCTGCCCCATCCCTGGTACCTTGCTCTCGGGCTTGAGATCCCAGGTCTCCGTCTCTTTGAGTTCACGGAAGCCAGCCTGGAGGAGGCGGCTGCGACACTCGGCCACGACTGTGGGGAAAGGCCTTGCTCACAGCGATGGAAGGCGGCGGGGGCGCACCAGCTCCCCCTCTCCGCCGCTGCCCTGGGCACTCACTCACCGTGGAAAGGAGAGGGACTCCGGTTCACGAACTTGATGAGTTCCCGGGCCGCAGCCTGCACCGCCTCTTTGCTGGCCCATCCGTTCATGGCCACCTAGGGGAGGGGGCGCTCAGGGGCTCCAGGGACTTCCACCCCAACCACGAAAGGGGCCGCCCCAAGGCTCAGAATGCTGCCTCCCCGAGTTCCACGGAGAGACGCAAGCCTGGGCGAACCGCAGTCTGCGGGAAGCTCCGGCGCTCCAGCCAAAGTATCACCACCCCGGCAGCGGTCCCCGCCCAGCTCGTCCCGGACGCCGCGCCCCAATCCTTGGCCCGGCCCCTGGGTCCCGCCCCACGTGCCCTCCCAGCTGCGATCCCGGTCGGGTCTCTAACTGCAAGCCCGCCGGCACCACGAGCGCGATCCCTTTCCGAAATCACAGCCCTGTTCTCCGGGGAATACCCCACCTCCCTCACACCCCCTTCTCCCGCCCCCCAGTCTCTCGCAGGCCACCCCTTTACCACCTCGGGACGGTCAGGTCACGCGGGGCTGGGCTTTCGGTTTCGCTGAGGGGTGGGCGCGGCCCCAACCCCGCGAGCAGGGGAGCTGGGGCCCGAGCCGGCCGGGTGGGTGGGTCTGAGACCGAATTTGGAGCGGGGCGGGCGGTGGCCACCTACCTGCATTGGCCCCATTCGTGGGCTAGACTTGACTCGCTGGGCCCTTACACTTGGCCAGCCCCGCGTTCTTTCCACGCCAGCCCGGCCTCGCGGTCCGCACGTCCCCGCCCGCCCTGTCCTGCGGGCGCCCTCTGCCGCACCGGAGGTGGTAGGACAGCCGCCAAACACCGTCCCCACCCCTCCTGGAGGTCAGAAAGTCAGAAAAAGCTTGCCCCCTCCAGCTCATCTGGTCTGACCGATGCGGTACAAAGTGCCTTCTCTTTCATAGGCACCCTGTGATGGCAAAAGCAACACGACTAATAGTCACGGAGTCTCACCATGAGCTTGGGCTTTATGATAAAGCTTAAGGTGTCATCTCACTTAATCTTCACAACTGCCCTATCGACTTTGTACTTTTACTGTCATCATTTATACATGAACAGAGACCAGTAACCTGTCCAAGGTAGTCAATGGCAGAGGTGGAGTTTGGACTCATTAATTAATTACAGGGCCCTGGAACAACCCACTCTCAGGTCGTTTTTGGGCCTTGCTTTTTCTTGGTAAGTGTTATGTTACTTGGGAGGCCCCTGAGGGACAGAGAAGTTAATGACTTGCTCAAGATCACACAGCTGTTTGGAGCATCTGGGATTCGACTCTAATATATGTACTCTTCCCACAGCTTAAGACAGGAATAAAAATAAAAATAAAAACCTAGGTCCATATGTTCTTGGAGATATTTCTCATATTCCTGTATAAAGAGTGGTGAGTAGCAATTTAGTAAAACCATTCACCTGCCTAACCATAGGCTCTGATCAGGACTCTTGAGGCCTCTAAGTCCTGCAACCAGGGGTGTTGTGAGCATCCCAGTTTTGACAGTTGGATGGAGAAATCTTCATGTGTGCACTGGGGTGGGAAAGATCCTGCAGTTCTAACTTCGAAGGAGTAGATATTGCAGGGGAATGTTCAGGAATATATACACTTGCCCAGCTGGTGTGGCTCAGTGGTTGAGTAACAACGTATAAATCAGGAGGTCATGGTTCAATTCCCGGTCAGGGCACATGCCTGGGATGGGGGCTCAAAGCTCTATCCCCAGTGTGGGGCATAAAGGAGGCAGCCAATCAATGACTCTTTCTCATCATTGATGTTTCTATCTCTCTCCCTCTCTCTTCCTCTGTGAAATAAAAAAAAAAAAAATTTTAAGATTATACACACTAGGTCCTAACTGGTTTGGCTCAGTGGATAGAGCGTCGGCTTGCAGACTGGAGGGTCCCAGGTTCGATTCCAGTCAAGGGCATGTACCTTGGTTGCAGGCACATCCCCAGTAGGGGGTGTGCAGGAGACAGCTGATCGATGTTTCTCTCTCATTGATGTTTCTAACTCTCTATCCCTCTCCCTTCCTCTCTGTAAAAAATCAATAAAACATATTTTAATAAAAAGATTATACACACTAGGCGATAGATTAAATTCATGGTATACCCCAATCATTTATGGAAATGCCATATGTATAAAGGTTCAGTGTTGATGTGACATGTGTCCTTGGGGAAGGGACACATTCAGAGACAGTGAAAAGAGCTGAAACGGGTACAATGTGTAAAGGAAAGAGACTTAAAAGAAAAATCTTTAATGTTCTTCTGGTCACAAAAAAGAGTACATGTAAATGTGAGAAATTAAAATATCACCAAAATGCATAGCTTAGAAAGTTAAAGATAAACTGAACATCTGTTCTTTCTTTAAAATATATTTTTTATTTCAGAGAGGAAGAGAGAGATAGAGCATCAGGGATGAGGGAGAATCATTGATCAGCACATCCTCTCCTGGGGATTGAGCCCAAAACCTGGGCATGTGCTCTGACAGGGAATCAAACTGTGATCTTCTGGTTCATAGGTCAATGCTCAACCACTGAGCCACACTGGCCAAGCTGAGCATCCATTCTTTATAAAACAAACAAACAAACAAACAAACAAACAAAACCCCTCTTAAGAAACCACGAAGAGAAAGGATAAAGGCTATTTGCCAGAAATCCTTAGCAGACATTGGTGGGAAAGTACAGAACTGCTCGTATTCACATCAGAAGACACTGGTGAGCTGTTACCACTGGTAGCAAATATGGACCTGCAGTCGGAGCCAGTGCCACAGAACAAAATAAACAATTATACATGGGAAAGTCAATTTGTAGTTATTTGTAGAATATTTGGTTACTTAGGACCTCCAAGAAAATAAACTGACAAACTTTTAGAAGTGGTGGAAGGGCCGAAACCGGTTTGGCTCAATGGATAGAGCGTCGGCTTGGGGACTGAAAGGTCCTGGGTTCGATTCCGGTCAAGGACATGTACTTTGGTTGTGGGCATATCCCCAGTAGGGGGTGTGCAAGAGGCAGCTGATCGATGACTCTCTATCATCGATGTTTCTAACTCTCTATCTCTCTCCATTCCTCTCTGTAAAAATCAATAAAATATATATATATATATATATAAAGAAGTGGTGGAAGGGATGGCCTGATGTTAAAAATTATCAGCTTTCCTGTGCAGGAATCAGCTAGGATATGTAATAGTAAAAACGTTCTGTTTACAAAAAAAACAAAAACCATTAAATTCCTAGGAATGAACATAGGAGTAATCCAATCTCACTGTAATTAAGGAAATTCAAGTTAAAAATGACATACCATTTTTTGATTTGTCAGATTAGCAACAATGAAAAAGATTGGTAATATCAAGTGTTGGAGAAGGCTTGAAAATACATGCGTTTATGCCCAATTTCTTTGGTACAACTGCTCCCTGGGGTGATTCCAAGTTGCCAATGTGAACTGAATGTGGAATGGGGAAGAGATTTGCAAAAGCACAGCATTGTATAGATTCCTCCCACCATCTATACTAATAAAAGCCTAGGTGGTCCTTGCGCCCTCTCGAGACATCCTCACGTCATCACAAGATGGCTGCCACAAGATGGCCGCCACTAGATGGCCAGAAGGGAAGGGCAGTTGTGGGCGATCAGGCTGGCAGAGGAGGGCAGATGGGGGAGAGCAGGTCTGCAGGGGAGGGCAGTTGTGGGTGATTGGGTCGGCAGGGGAGCAGTTAAGTGTCAATCAGGTCGGCAAGGGGGTTAGGGGGCAATCAGGCAGGCAGGCAGAAGTGGTTAGGGACAATCAGGCAGGCAGGCAGGTGAGCGGTTAGGGGCCAGCAGACCCAGATTGTGAGAGGGTGCAGGCTAAGCTGAGCGACACCCCACCAGGCCTCTAGTAGAGATATAATAGACATTAACCCCAAAAGCATAGATTTACAGTTAGGAAAATGATTTCTGAGTATATATTATTTCTGTTTGTAATATAATTTATGTAATTGAAATTTTAAGTGATTGCTGTCTTTAACAATGGGATCACAAGTTCCTGGAAATTTGATAGTTTCTATGAGCTGGTCCAAGTTGGCTCTAGCACACAACTTCACCCATAATCTATCTATATCTTTGATTCTCAAAGTGTGATTTTTTTTTACCTGGACACTTTTTAGAAATGTGGGACAAGATCTCTAGTGGATTTGAATGCATGTTAAAGTGTGAGACACAGTGCTTGAATGCCATGTGGTAGTAAAAAATAATGTGAGGCCAATCTTCATGTATTGTAGAAACAAAAAAACCCTCTAAATATATTGTTGAATGAAAAAAAGCAATTTGCAAAATAATGTTTATAGGGCATTTAGGTAAAACTCACACAATAAGCTAATTTCTAGATTTTATAAAAATATACATGAAAATGCATGGAAAAGGTTTGGGAGAGTGGTTGTGTCTGGACTGGGGGTTGATATTGGATTTGAGGTGGGAGGACCAAGGGGGAACCTTAGCTATCTGAAAAGAGTTTCTGAGGATCATGCTTGCCTCCAGCATCCTGAGAAAATCTTCCATTTATTTATCTTTTTGGTTTAACAAATGCCTATGAGTTAACATTGTAATCAGTTATACACACTTCAGTGTGCGTTGATTTGATATGCCTGTCTCTTCTGACCCATCAGTTTATGAGAGAACTTTCTAAGTAGTAGTTTGTCACATAATTATTAAGGTGATTTGGGATAGAGGAGACCAAAGTAAGAAAGAATGGTGTGGGCTGAGTGTGTGTGAAGACAGCCCTGGGTATCTTGTTGCTGGTAGATATCTTGGTGGTTTAATGAATAAATAATTTGCTTTTGGGTAAAAGGATAGGAACCTGCATAAACCGTACAATTTGTCCTCTGACAGTGTTGTTGGAAGGGCACTTTAGTTTCTAACGTGTATCTTCTGCTCAAGTTCTGTTTTCCAAGCAAGGCTAAATTGATCAAGGACTACAACTCCCAGGATGCCTTGAGGTGAGAGGCTCAGGCAAGATTATAATTTCCAACCAATTATGTTCTAGGAGGGAGGTTTACAAAGCACTTCATATAGTAGTTATAAAGAATGGAACACCTCTATAGATGTTAATAAGGAACAAATTCCAAGATAGACTATTAAGTGAAAAGAACAAGATGCAGAATAGCAGTTATGATGTGGGGCCATTTGTATGTGTGTGTGAACATAGAGGCACACATATATATTCTTATTTGTTTAAAATATGCCACAAGAAAATAGTAACTGTCTCTGAAAAGGAGAAATGGAAGGGCTCAGGGTCTAA